TGAAGTGCTTTCCTCCGTGGTGAAACGATCAGCACTGCACCACGGAGGAAAGTCACCTGGAGTCAAGGAGAGCGGGGCTGCGTTGCGTGCATGGCTTCCTTCTGTAGGTAACGGGGAGACGCACTCTGGCGGCGGTCTCGTTCAGGATCCGAAAATACAATTTAAATATTTTTGCACACTTATTCCACTTATTCCTAGTGTGCCACTGGTTACGGTGCCGCGTGCCAGGGGTTGCTGACCCCTGGTCTAATGGTACAGAAATTCAACATCCTCTCCTTCTCAGCTGCAGTGACCTACATTTCCCACGGTGATCACGGAGGTTTCATCTCCTACATTCATAATTCATGAGGTCTGAGACCATGTTGTACTGCTGATCTGACTGTACAGTGTTAGAGCAGAGCGTTCAGCAGGTTGCCTTCAATCCTGAGTGTGTGTTAGGAGATGATGTTAAGGTGATCTTTGTGTTCTCTCTCTTTTCAGGTGATGGACTGGATAGAAAACCACGGTGAAGCTTTCCTCAGCAAACACACTGGTGTTGGGAAATCCCTTCACAGAGCCCGAGCCCTGCAGAAAAGACACGACGACTTTGAAGACGTAGCTCAGGTAAGTCTGTTTGTTTACATTTTGATTCACACAGGAAAAGGCCACAATGATCAATACTAGAAATCAACAGTTTTTCCTTTTCTGTGCTGCTTTTCTTTGTTTTTGTCATCACACTGCAAACAGAGGGGGATGAGTTGACACTAAACATGCAACATTTGATTGTTTTACTTAAACAGTAAAGCAGTTACACCTGCAGCTCATGTTTTCAGTACTGACGTTGAATTTCTAAGAGCACACTGTCTGTGAAAAGATGATTAACTTATTGAGCTCAGGAGTCAGTTCAATGCCATGTGTGAAACCCTCATTTACAGTATCAACATTACACATCAAATATCTACTCCTACATTGTACATTTTGAGGGTAGTAGTTTGTTTTCATTAATGTTTATTCACTTGCCTTTCAAACATCTGTTAGCAATCTTCCTTGATTAATCCCAAATTTCTCAAAAAACACCATGCCTGGTGGCGGCAGGAAGCATGAAGACATTTCTCCGCGTAACCATTTATGGTTACAAGTCTGTCCTGACTAATCTGCAGAAGATGTTATCCATTCCTGAATTTCATTGCTAAAGTTTATCATGTGTGAAACACTGGATTTGGAGCTAGAGGTTTGGGGATAAAGATGAAAACAAAACAAAGAAACATGTTGAAGCTCACATAAGAGATTTCATTAAATGTCAGAGGGAATGTGGCTTGTGTTAAATAGTGTTATAGTAAAATAAAAACACAAAATATGAAGCAAACACTAGTGACATTTTTCTGTTGAATATATATATATGATTATTGCAGAACCCTTTGATCTTCATCACTATATACCAAAACTGTCAGTACAGCCTTAAAGAAGCAAGAAGAGGTTATATATCGGCTCTTATTCAATGGAAACCTTGAGGGCTTTGAAGTGGATTGGTTGCTGTAGGTGCGTGATGTTCTTCTTTATTTAAGTTGTCAGTTGTCTGTTTTGATTTGTTTTAAAGTCCTCAGATCGCAGACATACAGTATGTGTGTGTTCATCTCAAAGCCTTTCTTTAGAGACTGAATGTTATCATCAAATCTTTACCGTCTCTGCTGCTCCATAATAAGCCTGAACACATGCACACTGCGGATCGCCATGGTGTCAAGTTATATTTTCTGCTCTTTTCGTTCCCCATCTTGTTCTCGTCATTTTTATTTTGTCAGTCTTCCCTGCTTAATGGAGCTGACGTCCTAACACCTTTCCCCACTTGCCTCAGCCGTTCAATCTATTTTCTCCCTGAAGCTTTCTCAACTATTTGCACCACCCTGAGTGCTTTCTAGTCTTGAAAAACCCCTGAATGTGGTTTGTTATATCCTCAAATCAAACTAGCAGTGCACTCAGAAGACCTTCGCCAAAGCCAAATGCCCTTTTACTACCATCGCAATGTTTACAAAAGTCAAAACTCATTTGTGTTCCTCTCCGAGATTTCGATTTTCTCCAAAAAGTAATGGGTTCTTTTTTTACCCATGCTACACCTTTCCATCATGTGAAGCTGACAATTGAGCGGCCCGACCAAGCAAGGAGGCAGAGGCAGAACGTCCAAAATACAACCCGGTGTGGGCATTTATTAACTCATGAACACATGACACACAGCCTCAATCCTGCTGAACATGTGCACACCGTCACCATTTTGATTTTTTTATGTTGCACCACACTACCAGCCTCACCACACATAGGGAAACAGAGCCTAAATACCTACACTAATCAGCACAACAAGACACAGGTGAGGGGGGAGCCCTCAATCCTGCTGAACATGTTCACACCGTCACCAACCACAGGGATCTCACACACACTACCAGCATAAACAGCAAAACCCCAGAGCCTAAATGCCCAACCCAACAGGACACAGGTGAGGGGGGAGGAGACAACACATGGCACCAGGTGCACACAATCAATGGCAACAGACAAGGGGAAAGGGGAACACATTTCAAATAAAATACAATAAACACTACATCAATAAATAGTATAAATTGTATACAAATGTGCACATATGCAAGGCCCGAAGCCATCAGTCCACAGTGACGAAGTTACCTTCGTCACACATCAATGTTCATGAAAGTCAGATTTAAAAAAAAATTGTAACCCTACTGACAAACAGAACGAAAACATAAACAATTTGGGCAGATGTAATAACAGCAATCAGAATCCATTGAAATTGTATAAAACATTCTCTACTTGAGGTGTTTCAGTGAAGTGATTATCCTATAAAATAATGAGTGTAAATCCTATAAAGAGTATGTAGCCGATGTTTACATTCTGGATTAGGATTAACCTTCATAACATGCTGGATCAGCATTATTTGGGTCAGACGCTCTGCCTCGGTTTCTTCCCATTTTTTCTTCAATTATATATTTTTTGCAGCGTTTTGCTGGTAAATTCCCTCCAATTAGCAATATACATAACATTAATACATGAGATGCCGGAACATGCCAAAAGATGAATATTTAATCATGTTTACCCAAATTAGCTTTGACGTTCTCTTTTACATACAAACACCAAGACATGCTAGGACTTAATGAGTATGTGTGTAGTGTGTGTGTATATTAAACATGGTGAGTTTTTATGAAAATGTAATCCCCATTTACCATCATTACAGCTAGTTTATTTTTAGCTCTCCTCGTCTACATCAGATTAAATGCTTCGCCATTAGATCCGACCAAACATCAAACAGAAAGACCCAAAACTCCTATACTCTCAATAAAGTCTTCATTCTTCAGCTTCTTCTAACTTCCTTAAATCTTAGTTTCACTAGGGAGGTTAACTCTTTGAATACCAACATTAAAAGGTTGATAGGGACTGTAGACTGTTATATGTTGTACTGTACATGAGAGGTCAATTAAACAAAAAAGGCTTCTTCTTAAAATGTTACATCTACGTTTATTTATTATTTTATATGTATATATTTATTTAAAAATCATTTAATTACATATTTTATATTACTACTGTGCCTCTCATTTGTTCGGTTAATCTATTCAATGTACCTTTTTAAGTAATTCATTTATTAATGTCTTAAAAAGTCAGTCTTGGTCTTGTACATTATATCCAGGTGCCGGGGATGTTTCAGCGTTCCTGTCACCCCCCTCATGTAATCCTCATCCTAAACCACAGCAGTCATGCATGAAGAGTAATAATCTCTTGTAAATTATAATCTTCATCTCCTGTCTAATCCCTCGGAAATGTGAACCATCCAGACTTTAAGCTTTCTCCCAGACTCATATTCTTGAATAATTGGGATCATAATGCAATATATATTTCTAACTCCAGCACCCGCCCCCTGAACCGCCAGTCACACAAAGATATCTCACATGTAATATTTCTTGAAGTTAAATTCTCCCTTGGTAATCTCTCATACTTACCAAAATAGACCGAAAGTAATCCAGTTTGTCCTCCTGATGAATGCTAAGAGCTTTAACTCACAGACTGGATTCAGTCCATTGTTGGTGATAATAGAGGTACAGTAGAAACAGGAAACAACGCCATGTCGATTTACAGAAACTGGATTAACATACGTGATCCGAAGCAGTGTAATCCCCGTGCAGCTATGGTGTTTAGGTGTTTAAATTAAATCTGAAAAACCACTGGAGTGACACTGAAAAAAAAATAGCCCAAAATGGAGAAGTATTATTTTATGTTTTATGATAATAGTGAGAAAAGATTGAGAAAACTTCCAAAAATGTACATATAGGAACAATAACAAGGCACATGATAATGGTGAATACATATAATGATTGAGATGGTGACAGTGATGATGATTAGATTAAATTAAGCTTTATTTTTATTGCACATAGTACAATGAAATGAAATGTTCGTCCAACCAGAGATTGCAAAGAGTAGATAAAGAGCATGGGGTTACAGTAACAAAGTTGTTGCATAATGTGTAGCAAGTTACAGATACGTTTTTATAGATAAGAAATAAATATTGAGATAAGGTGTACGTTTTGAAGCATATATGGAGAAAAACAAGTATCAAGAATTCTTGCCGGCTATACAATGTATTCACACAGCTTTGGGTGGAAAACCTTGAAAAAAGTAAACGGATTATTACTCATTTGCAGAAGCTGGGACTAGTGCATTAACCTGCATCTTGAACTACTGATGCAAATGCATGCATACAAATAAATAATTCCATGACCAAGTTATAGAACTTAGCTAATACGGATATTAATCATGTTGGTGTTGCGTTTGTTGCTTATGATGATGATGTTGATGATGAAGGTCCTTCCTCCTCTTCCCCTCTCAGAACACATACACTAATGCGGACAAGTTGCTGGAAGCGGCAGAGCAGCTAGCTCAGACCGGAGAGTGCGACCCTGAGGAAATCTACAAGGCCGCCCGGCACCTGGAAGTCCGAATCCAGGACTTTGTCCGCCGGGTGGAACACAGGA